CTTCATTACCCATTCAAGCCGTCTCCAGCCATTATTAGTCTCAAAGTTGGTTCCTCGTCATCGAGTCTATTGTGTAGTTTGCGTTTAACAACGAACAAACAAACGGTGGAAAATAAAGACGCAAATCATGAAACAGATGTATTTTGTGAAAGAAAACTAAACAATCTTACATATACATAACAAGTAATGCTATGGATGACATTCTGATGTTTTTCTTCTTTATTCAGACATTTACCAGAAAATTTTACAATTATGAGACACCTCTGAAAAATCGAGAGTTAAAGTTAAGCCCACCTGACAGAAAAATGCATATGTATTTAATTTAATGTAATTTCAATCATTATACAACACGAATGTGTTATAAAACTTTACAAAAAAAAGCTTTATTCATCTCTTTGACTGTCCATGGGATCTCCTTCAATCGTTTCTGCTTCAGAATGTTAAAAATTAAGGTGATGCACATATGCAAGCTAGGCAACACTTATGGTATTTGGCAAAACTTTAAAATCATGTTATTAATGGTTAAAAGTGGAGTTTTGTAAGTATAATGATTGACTGTTTATATTAACATATTACATTTTGTGAAAGCCTTCTAGTTTTATAAAGTTATAATGTTTAAAAATTAATTCACCTAAGCTCAATAAAATAAGAGAGTCCTAATGCTAGTGTCAAATTTTTTTTTACTTTAAATAATATATATGGTTTTTTCTGCAAACTAGTGTTCTATAACATTTTATTTCTGATTTTTTAATGTTCTAAAAACTTGATAGCTGTAACTTCTGAGAGGAAGTCACCTGTGATATAATCAAAGTGCAGTATGATAAAGGAAACTCAAGATTAAATAAACATTTAGAGCCCATGACCTGCAATTGTAGAAAATACTAAGTTTAAAAAATATAAAACCCCTTTTAACATCACCGATTAATAAGTTTGGGTGTATAGGACAAAATGTTTAAAGTAAAAATTATTACACTCATTTTCAATTCTGTGTTTACTATACGATGATTCTATAAATTATATCTGCACAGCACAGATAAAACAATGTTGCTGTGGGAATTAAAAATTTTAGTCTTAAACCTATTTTTAAACTCAAAATGAAAGTTGATTTGAAAATATTAAAAAGTCCATACATGAAAGATCTCAAAATTTACTTACCTGGTCACCTGGCTCTCCTTTATCACCTTTCTTTCCTCTCCTTCCTACCAGTCCCTTTAAGAAAGTATGCATTCAATATAACAAAAAAATAAATATTTTATTTAACTAAATCAGTAATTTTAAGTTTTTAAAAATTAATTATTAGCACTTGATTTTAATAAGGGCCAAGAGAGAAAATGTCACATTAAAAACATTCCTTTTACAGAAACTCATGATATTCAAAAGCATGCAGGATTAACAGAAAACAATTTAGTGTTAAAAAAAAAACAATAAAACCTGAGAGCTTTTAGAAAGCGGATTTTTCCTTCATTAGGGGTAAACGACGACAAGTCTGTAGTTTAATATTTCTAAAATATTTTACAAGTGGCTTTGTTTTGTAGCTTGAAAAATGCATAAGAATAATCATAGTTTTCAAGAAAACATAATTTCATCCAAAAGTAAGTACACTATTAAATAGAAATGATCATTCTTCATCGACTAAATGTAAAGTTCTTAACCATTTCATGAATATTTTTAAGAAGTTGTTTGGTAATGCAGTCACATACGTACTGTAATTTCAAAGGAAAATAATATGTTATAAATAAATAAATAACAAATAAACAATGATATGAATGAAACTTACAGGGGAGCCTCTATCACCTTTATCCCCTTTAATACCCTGTATATAAAAAAAATATACAATGATGATTAATAAAGTAAAAATTACATCATTTTTTTTTGTATACAAATAAAAAGTACTATGAAAGCAATTGAACACTAGAATATTTTTAAGAAATTAAGGACAAAACTAGTTAGAAATTAAGACCCAAATTTTAGGTCCTTAAATGGTCAAACACAAATGGTATACACAAAATAATATTGCACTAACAATCCAATGAAAAAATAAGTGTTAAAAATAATTTGAAAAAAAACTAACAAAACATGATGTAATCTACCATTTCTCCTGGTGTACCATCAATTCCTGGAAATCCAGTTTCACCCTGTAATCCCCTTGGACCCTAAGAAACAAGTGGAGTGCAACATTTTTGCACAAATAAACAAGAGAAAATTCTGAATAGTAAAGGCAATAAATACAAATGTGATTTTTTTCTTAATTCAACATTAATAAAAACTCCTGTATAAATCTAATACAGCATAAAAGGGGAAAAAATATATACCCTTAATACTAATGTAAGTTATCTTCATTTTCAGTTCTTTCTTAATAATACATATAATACTGTCATTTACAGTTACTCTTTTAAAAAATTAGAAGTAGCTTCATATTACAAACATTTAACATGCAAGTCACACTTACAGGCAGTCCCATAGGCCCTTGACCTCCTCTTTCTCCCTTTTCACCCTAAATAAAAACATTTTTACTTTGTGTATCAATCTACAGAGAGTTAAAGTTATTACAGAGAAAAGACAAGTTATCACTTTGTCATATTTGCAAAGTAACGTGTAAATAAGTCTAGGTATGTTCCTGCCCATCCACAAACCTACCTACCAACTCACATTCACAAATCTTACTCACCTGCCTCTTGCCAGTGTATGAACCTCAATAAGGCCTTTATATTTAATGGTGTCTTTTGTAAGCAGTAGATAGAATACCACTGTTATAAAGATCTCTCCTTACTCCTTGAATTCTTTTAACATGCTATCAAATAAAGACTACATGGAAAAATGAGGTGTTTTGAAGTTGACTTTATTCTATTACTATTTGCTAAAAGTAGATGTCATTTATGTATTCAAGAGATTATAAAATACTTATTTTACTTTGTTACATTCTAAAACTGCTTTGTATTTCATGTTAATTGAATCACTGTCCTCTTTTTCAGATAAATTATCCAAACAATGTTGCAACAGTAGACATCTCAAATTAGTCAAGCAGCTGCACCTTGAATTATTGTGGGTTAAAAAAATATGGGGCATCAGAATTTCATTTGAAACAGTAATTTAAAATACGAAACAAGTTGTGATATATAAATGATTTCCAGTGAAGTCTCACATATTAGTGTGATGATTCTCAAATGATTAAAAAAATATTAGAGACAAGTACACAATAAATTATATAGTTAAAATTAGACTAAAATTCATATTTCTTTGACACAAAGACTCTAAAGCTAGTTCTGACACTATCCAATCAAGGAGGGGACATGAAAGTACCAAAACTAGTAAAGAAGTCTCCACATCAAAGTTCAGAAATAGTGTGGATTTTTAGATTAATTTTATGTACTGAAATGTGTTATTAATGCTTTTCAAAGGATTTGTATGAAGAATGAAATGCTTATTAATTAAATAACCATCTACTACTTCAGGGTTTAGACTTAATTTCACTAGCTATTATCATAACTAGAATTATATTTTTTTTAAAAACACCAGGGTTTTCATATCACTGTATAAAGATTTACAGTTAAAGAATATTTAATTATGCAATATAAGATATCCAATAAGCATCAACTTACAGGTTCACCTTTCTCTCCATCTGTTCCCTTGTCACCTTTGATTCCTGGTGGACCTTGTAATCCTCTAAGTCCCTAATAAGAAAAAAATCTAACTATATTTTTGGCTAAAAATAATGGAAACTCTATTAATTAAAGTATTTTGGAGAACTGAAAACAAAATCCAATTGGTAGGGAAACTGGGCCGGCACTACCATAGGTCAACTAGGCAGCCAGCTGCCTAGGGTGCAGACCTGAGAGGGGTGCAGTACTGACCTTTAAGGGTCACAGTTTTATACAAATTAGTTGTTTTAAAAAAAACATAATACAAGAAAAATATAATATTTCATTGTTCATAATATTTTATAGTTCATAAACAGTTTATTGTTTTCAAGGGGTGCAAGTAGCTGGCCTTGCCTAGGGTGCAAAGTAGTCTGGCACCGGCACTGTAGGGAAACCATTCTAACTATCTAAAAGAAAGTTAATTGTAATTACAAAATCGTTGTTGCATGTTAAATTATAACAATGTGTCTTAATTCAATCTCTGTTTCTCACAATCACTTACTATTTCATATAAAAACAAAATTCCACTAACATTTGTAGCATTAATGGATATAAACAGATCTAAATTCAGTTTTAATATGACATAATGAATCATGCATAATTTCTTAATACATGTAGAGTTCACTCATCACTGGCACTCTTTAGAATGATGTTAAACAAGTTGAAGAAGCTTTTTTCTTCTTCAAATTAAAACTGCATATGAACCAGTGAACGGGAGCATAATATTGATAGTTTCAGCATACTGAAAGTTATGATTGTAGGGCCATTTTATTCCACCAGTGGGTCAGCAGTAAGTGTATGGACTTACAACACTAAAATTCAGGTTTTGATTCCCTGTGGTGGACAGAGTACATATAGCTAATTGTGTTGCTTTGCCCCAAAACAAAGATGTTTTCAATTTCTAGCTGAGAAGTTGAAAAGTACTAGAAATGTTAAGGCTCTATGCATTAAGATACTGATTAACTGCCAAAATAGAAGCATAATTTTGAGAAAGTAGTCTTATTACAAAAATACAAAGTGCAAGATCTACTCAAATTAACAATCTTAATATCAATAAATGGTAACAAATAGTTCTTATTTTGTTCTCCAACTGTGAATATAAGAGTTGAATGTCCTCATCTGTAACTTAAAAACAAATTAAACAAATGTATCCTCTACATACAATTAGTCTAGTGACTTAGAATTATTAAGATAATGTTATAACCAAATATTTTTTATGAAAACAAAAATAAATTTGTTAAACAAGGTGCTCATATTGAGCTGAAAGCCACACCATTTACTTGATCATAAATATTTCATCGAATAAGAAATGAGACTGCTTAGTAGCTAGTTCCGATATATCTTAAAAAAATACTTCTTTAGTCATGCCCTTTACTGTCTTTAATAACTTCATCTGAGAGGATGCTGGTATATAGAGATTAAATAAAAAACCTGGCACTATAAAATCAGTTGATTCAAAAACTGATAAACAAATACACCTAACCTGTGATTTTAAGTACTAATATTAGAACCTACAGATCTAACTAGACAATCAACTTTATGAGTTTTAAACAAACCAATAACAGCTTGTTTGTTTTATAGCATAGCCACATTTGGGCTATCTGCTGTATCCACTGCTGGGAATCAAACCCTGGATTGTAGCATTGTAAGTCCATAGACTTACTACTGTCTAACTGGAGGATCCAATAGCAGACAACTATGTGACCTAAATGGTCTATTCTTATTATACTCCTGTTCAGAAGTAATAACAATAATATGTTTTTAAAAGTTCATCAAATACTTTTCCAATTTACTGTCTATTTGTGAGGTAGAATCTATTGTTGTAATTAAAAAAAAAAACTAGTTTAGTCTAACTCTTAAAATTTTACATTTGTGGTGATTGATAGCTTTTGATATGTTTCTCTTGTGTTTTGTAGGTGGTTTTATGAATTTATTTAATGGTACATATTTTTCATGTTACAAAAGTTTTAATTAAACATTATTGCCCTGGTTTTAGTATTTAGCCATATAACTTAGAAGTCTGCAAATATAAATTCATTGCAAATTGCATTAAAAAAGGTCAGACATTACTACTCTCAAAACCACAATTTTTCTCTATATTTTCAGTTTAAAAGTTCCAATATTAATTAAAAAAATAGCTGTCAATGTTATACTTCATAAGACAGGTTTTGGATATTGAAATTATATCTAAGAAACACTTAGAGAAACTGAATATTGAATTTCTCTTTTAAATTTAAGAGTAATAATGTCTTGTGTAAAAAAGTCCATCTTGAACAGCTGCAGAAGTAGAGAAACTGAATATTGAATTTCTCTTTTAAATTTAAGAGTAATAATGTCTTGTGTAAAAAAGTCCATCTTGAACAGCTGCAGAAGTTAAAGATTGAAACATTATTTTAACACTTTTTTTAGACAGTCTTTGTAGTGATACATAATTTCTCTGAGCATGATATGTCAGTGATGAAAATAAAATATTTTATTTCAGGGTATTAGGTTTTCAGTTAGCTCTTTCAAATCATATTATGTTTCTTTTTTTTTGCTTAATTTAAAAATCATTAGAAGGTTGACATAAAGATAAGTATATTTTTGATAATTTTATCATTTGTATCTTAGAGCTAACTTTGAATAGTTTCTATTTATATTATTTTAAAACTGTCAACATAATCTTTCTAAAGATTAGGAAAGTCAATAGTGCAATAATGTAAAATTAAGCATTTTAATATATTTTTATTAATGAAAATAATAAGTAATTACTACAACACATAGCATTCCAATGCATATCCATGTATTACATCTCATCACTTAAATCACTCGTTCAAAAAGAGGAGGGGGCACACAAGAAAGCACATTTATTAAAGGGGGGGGGGGTATGGATGACAAAAGTTTGGGAAATGCTGCATTAAGTCATAAGTTTAAAAGTCTAATTTTAAGAGGAACTGACTTTTCTGTTTAATTGATTTTTTTTTCTTGAATTGTTTTACTGATTTCCATTAATGATATAAATTTAGGTGGTCCTTGAGCATTCTATCCCTATACAGAAATAAACATTGCACATACAGACCCAATTAAGCACGTTATTAATCTGAAGTTTTTCTTTTTAGAACATAGACAGATTGTTTTATGATAGCATGGAATGAGTATTTACCCTCTGTTCTGATTGATCACCCAAACTTCATGTGGCTATGAAACTATGATGTAGGATTGAGGAAAGAGTTGTTGATAAAACAATAAGATGGTAATCTGACTCATAACCAATGAGGAAACAATGATAAAGACTTTATTTTATCTGCTTACTTAGTCTGAAGATTGCATTACGTTGTCAATATGCTACAGATTGTACTCTAGTCTGTCAAAGAAATATGTTAGCTTTGAGATAACTGTTGGCAGTCAAACATTAGTGTAACCCATGTTATGTATAGCCAATTGGATAGAATTTTAAATAAATCTTTAGTGTTAATTTGAAGTTAGGTAGAGAATCCAGTCTTTAATTCTTTCTTAATTTTTTTCATCTATACCTATTTGTAATTTGTATTCAAGGGTAGGTGTCATTATGTTACAGTAGTTTAAATCTATTAACTTTTGTGTAAGTTAGAAATAGTGAACACTTATAAGAATAACTTAACAAAATATCTGTTTGTTCTTGTGATAGTCAAGAATAACAGAAAAACATGAACTCGTACTCAAGCATTAGGTACTAACGAGTAAACTTGATACTTACTGGATGACCAGGAGGCCCTGGGGGACCTGTGATCTGAAAAACAAAAGTTTTCAATAATTGTTAAAAGACCATGATAATTATCTTAATTTAATAATTTCATCATTAATTTTTTTCCAATGATTTTAATATACTAAAACTACATTATGTTTTGAAGTAAATAAGAATTTTCATTCAGGATAACATGACA